GCACTTCATAGCCCGCTCAAAGTAAAACTGAAACAAAATTCTCTCTTTCTCTAATATGGGTGTTTCTCCTAAGCTTTCCTTAATAAAAAAATCTTCCAGTCCAGAAACACCTAACAAAAATCTTGAGACATGATTGTCTATCTTGCTAGGTTATAAAATCCTAAAGTAAACAAGAACCTATTAGGCTACTAAAGTAGCACTCACAAACTGTTTTAAAAGGAATTACCATGGCTACAGAAATACTTACAAGTTAATTATTAACTTCAGACACACAGAAAACTATATGTTATTGGCTAAAAATTCAAAACCCAAACCTAAAATAAATTATATTAAAAAAAATATATTTTATGTATATATAAAAATATGGGGGATTAAATGCCTTCTCTCATTCTAAACAAGGCATCATACAAGGGTGATAATGCCACTTTAAATTGGGAGCAACAGCTGTCTGTAAATCTTCTTTAGGTTAAATGATTCAGTTTAATATCGTCTTAAAGAGTTTCTTTGCATGGGATTTTTTTTTTCCAAATGTAGTCATTGTTGCTTTAGTAAAGTGAGTTTGTTCATTTTGTAACTTGATGGCAGGAGCAGGACAGACAGCGGTTCAGTTGTTTGAGCAAGTCTGATATCAGCCTTCTCTGTCAGAACAAGTAAAATATGAGGTCCCCTCTGTCATCAAATCCAGTATCATATTATGATGTGTCATGAATTATAAAAATACAGTATGTGTTTACTGATTAGATCTGGGACTTTTCAATGAACTGTATTGTCAAATATTAACTTGCTGCCTGAATGAAATGATTGAATAGCTTTTATAAACATTTCAGGAGCAATGCTGCTGTACTTTGACTTGAATATTAAAAGAACAGATTTATTTTTCCAAGGTTGGGCAGTAGCACTACCATTCTTTGCTTCCAGACTCTAAAAAATGATATTTGGAGAATAAGACCTAAGCATAAGCAATAAATGATAAAATTTGAAGAAATAATCCTTTCTGTTTGGATTTGTGCTGGTATGGCTAATGGATAGCAACGGTAGGTGCTGGGCAGGGGGAAATGGTGTGGTGGAAATAGTAGTGCAATTGACTCTGAAGGAGAAGAGACGTTTAAAAATCAAAAAATTAACTCTGTTTTATTTTCCACAGATGCTGCAGACCCGCTGAGTTCCTCTGGCACTTTGTTTTTACATAAGCTCTCCCTTCAGTGACTGCCCATACATTGCTTATTTTCACAGCAAAAAGCACCCTGCTAAACTGTGAGGTGTTCTCTTTCAAAGAATGAAAGTCCACCCAGCTCTTTGTAATACACACAAGCAATATCATTCAGCTGCCTTTGAAGTGCCTCATTCAGCCCAGTGACCCTTCTCTCTAGTTCCTTAGCCATGAAATCCTGTTGATAAGTGATTGCTTCTCTAGTTACCTGGTTTACTTTCAATTTTAGTCACTTTAGAGAAAAAGCTGGAGGAAGCTACTTCATACTAAGTTTGCAGTTGATTGAGGTCATCTGCCTGCCTCTTGAATGCTTCTCACAGATCAGCATCTATAAACATGATCATGGATTATTCTGGAGAATTGGTGTAATTTTCTGGAATTATCACCAATTCTGTTATTATCTTTCACAAATGTCTCCTCTCAAATTGTTTCTCTAATTCCTGGTGAAGATCTTGCTGTAATGTGTATCTTATCTAAATGGCCAATCATCATTGACAATGCAGAGCTGAGGAAAAATTGCATTGCCAAAGATGCTGCCTCTCATATGAGACATTAATAAGAGCCCACCTGCTCTGAAGGATCCCAAAACATGATTTCAAAGATGACTAGGCTATAGACCCTTGTTGTTATGGCCAATATTAATCCCTCAATCAACGTCTCAAACCAGATTATTATGTTGCCAGCTTGTGGGAGCTTGCTATGTGCAAAATAAATGTTATGGTTCCATGGGAAAGTAACAATGGTGACTATACACACTTTAAAAAGCACATTGCTGATTCAAAAGAGCTCTGGAGATGTCTCAAAGATTGTGAAAGAATTATATAAATATAAGCCTTTCTATCACTTTAAGTGTCAACATGCTATTTAGCCGCAGTGGTTATCACCATTGAACTGGCCTTGACCTAATACATATTTGCATGCTAAAAAAAATCACATAGTTATCAGGAGTAGACTGGTAATCCTAGATATTTAGGACCAAATATATTTCTCCAACTGCTATCCTTGTAATCAGTTATCTTAGCACAGTAACTGAGAACCATGCCTGGGTCTCAGGTATATTTCCTAATAGACTAGTGGGGGTGAGGGAATCTGATGCAAAAAGGTTGATGAAATCAACAACAAAAACTTCTGAGCACGTCCATCAACTTTAAGCTAGGGCTATCCACCATGGTATAAATGCAATTGTAGAAAGTCACAGATATGGTAAAGCTGACCGGCATTGTAGTGGGAGCGCAACAGGGAATTCAAGCTGATATGCACTTTGCCTCCAGCGGGGCATCCGTGCCTGGTATGCATTGGTTACATTGTCTCCCATAACATAAGGACTAGACATAGGTAACAGGATATTGAAGAATCTAGCCGAATGCTTTTACAGCTCACTTATGTTGAAACATTAGGTTTGCAAACAACATTCCGTCGCTAAGTTATCGAACGACGGGAAATTCAGAGAAGTGACCAATCTCAAGGATGTACTTTCCTTGTGCACATTGAAGAAGTCTGTTGCCACCTTGGCCGTGACTCCTTTGTGAAAGTTGTTTGGAGAAGTACAGCCTTGCAGTTCAATTGCAGGTGTATACTTTCAGGTTTCAGCCACTAGTGGTTCATGCCATAGAAGGAATGATCTCAGCATGGGTTCTTCCCTCTGGTTTTGCAGCAAATTGGATTGGCAAAGTGGCCAAACTAACTGACCTTTGCAGACAGGTAATGTTCATTTTTGTGGAAAACTACCTTAAAATGTTCCTAATAACTGTATTCTCTTTCAAGAAAACATTACAGCTGTGCTGTGAGGAGCATCAAACTGCTTTTGTTTTCAATTTTGGACTGCAGATACACAGATTCTTTAAAAAAATGAACAACAATGATCTAGAGAGACAGTATTCACTGCCTCAGTGCAGCACTGAAACTGTCAACCTTGCTTTTATTTGCAGCTTCTCTATTAGAAGTTTATTCAAGCTTGAAAGAACTTAGACTTCAATCAGAAAAAATGCTAGCTCTGTCTTCTGCACTTAGAGAAATTGATAATACTGATTGTCTGAATTCTTTGATTTTTTAGGGCTATTATCAAATTGACCTTCAATTAGATTTTCAAAATATCTGCCACTAAGACTTTAAAATCTTCTTTGTAAGCAGCCACTGTTGCTATCCATGATGTAATTTTTTGCCTCCAGCAGTGTATTTGTACCTAATGCAGCAAGACTTATGTTATCTTCCATAACATGAGAACCAGATGCAGATAAAATGGTATTGAAGAAACTAACAAAACATTTATTGCAGCACATTATGATACACAAAATCAGATTCAAAGACACTGAGGTGTTTGAGCTAATATTAGGCTATTTGGTTACAAATAGCAGTTTGGTTTCATCAGTGTGTCTTGCCTCAAGTGGCCGAATTAAGATGGTATTTGGGACCTTTTATACACTCAGGTCACATGATCTGATACTGTGATGATATCATGACCATGTCTCTTAAAGGGATACCGATGCACTGACCACAAGGCATAGTTTTAATCAACTACTTTGGTATTGTAGATGACCAGTGGATGTTGGCGTTCTTTGGCTTTTTTGGATAGAAGAACAGTTTGTCACAATTCAGGGCAGTGTGTAATCACTCCTTAGGAAGTAATGCCAGTTATATTTAGAATTAAAAATCAACATGTATCCAAAAGCTCTCATTTAATTTCCTTTAAATAAGAGTGAAGTTCTTAAAGGTTACAGCAGAATGAATGAAAATTCTGCAAAATTATGTCAATCCTCCAGGACGTGGGTTGTACATGTTAAATTTATATCATCTAGAGATGATGAAGTGTCAATTTGGGTTTGATACGCTAGTTGTCTCTGCACAGATTCTGCCAGATCTACTGAGTTTCTTGAGCACTTCTGTTGATGTAGTAGGTGTTGATCTATGTGCAGTATTTATGAACTAGAATGAGGACTCTAGTCAAGCACCAAAAATAGCCCAAAGCAGCTTCTCCCATTTTTCTCTAAATGGTTTAAAATTGAAGGTGTGACCTGGAAAAGCCGGTGACAAGAGAAACAATCACTTATCAATAGAATTGCAATGTGTAGGAGCAGGATAGGCAAGTCACAGGATTGAATGAGGCACTTGTCTTCAAAGGCAGCTAAATCACCCTATCCTGTAAACTCTTGCATAGATAACAAAAAGTTTGGTAGACTTATTACAACCTAAAATTTATTAAAATATAGAAATTGGTGAGAGCAGAACAGTGGCAGATCTTGGTGCAGTTTCTTTTCTAAATCATTGTGACTATGTTTTCAAGGTTTTAATATCACAGTTGGATGCTTGTCCATTTCACATAATTGCCTGAATGCCCTGATAATGAATCTGCCCTCTAGCACACAACCATTTATTGTCTAATTGCTGCCGACCATATCTTGCTTCACAAGCTATTGCCTGAGTCTTTATTATACAATGTGTAATGTGTATCTTGAAAGCCACAAAGCAAATGGTGGAGTACAAAGGGGCACATTAAATAAGTATTTACAGATTTTGTTAAAGTTGTGATGTTTCTGAGAAGTATAATTGCTGGCACTTAACTCCCCTTAAATATAGCAAAAGCACTCCCTAATTAAAAACCAAACAATTTCACTGTAAAGAGTAATTTCTGAAGTCATTTTTATAGTTGGTTAATTCTGGTTGAGCTAAATTCACCAAATTATCAGCCAGAACGTTTTCACATGTGGACTAATAATGGATTCCTTATGTTGTTCAAACATGAGATGTGCTAAATATGCCTTTTATTTAATAATCAAATTTATTTTCTCTCCGTGAATCAATTTGGAAGTTCTGCTGAAGTTGCAAAGCCATAGTCTGCCCCTGTAATCTCCCTGAAAAGCCATGTGTGCATTATATAGTCTTTATTATCATTCAGTCAAGTTTCTCACATGTGCAGGTTTAAAGGATGACAGTGAGCTGCTTGACAATTCTCACAAAGAAACACAGTAATTACCTGAAAGTTGTCCATTGCTGGTGATCATAATATTCACTCGTTGGATATTAATGGTGTGGAAACCATCTTGAAACATCTCAGGAGGTTGTGGGTTCAAGTCCAATGCAGATACTTGTCCATAAATTTGGGCTAACGCTTCAGTACAATGGTAGTGCAAATGCTACACTGCCAGAAATGCTATCTTTCAGATGAGCCATTCAATCATCGGACCTTTCAGGCAGACTGCAAAAGATCCTATGGCAATTTTTCCAAGAAGACCAGACGTGTTGGTCCAGTTTCCTCACCAACATTATCTCGCAAGCAGCATCCAACACAGGTGACCTGGGCATTTCTCCTATTGCAATTTGGGCAGCCACAATCATGATGACAATGACTCGACTTGAGAATACTTCATTGGTATAAAGCAATTGATGCTGTTTCTTTTGAGGTTGGGAATGTTGCTAGATCATTGTAACTCCTTTTCTTTGTGTCATTCACGATTTATGGGAGACATGAGAAACTGGCAATTGGGCAAAGGTAAAAACAATGTTAACAATCCTGATGAGATCATTTAATAACAATTTCCAAACATTCTTAGATCATTTCTCTAGAGGGGGGAGCACAGTTCCCTGTGGTTCAAGTGGGTTTGTGAATTCACAGGAGCATGATGTCAATTGTGGTTTTGTGCTGAAATATGAGCTAGTTTCTCAAGTTGCCAAGCAGATTTTGTGTGGTTGTTCATGGCAAGGTAACATTCTTTCATAAATGTAGTTAGACTTAATTGCTCAGGAATCACCACGTGGAAACAGATTGTTTGATCCAAACAATCTCTGTGGTTCTTACAACTACCCTTAATCACATGTGCTCCCTCTGACCCCTTTTCCCTTTCTTCAATCAGCTATGGTCCCTGATACAGTTCCGATAGTGCACTTCATAGTCTTCTAACCTTTCGTGTAAAAAGTTTTCTCCTGTTATCTCATCTAAATCTCTTGTATTTAGACTTACAACAAGTTCTTCTTATTCAAGACCCCTCTTTCACTGGAAGTAGTGTGATTCCAGTATTGACCAGGAGGGAGGGTGGGGGCAGGGGCTGGTGGTGGGGCAACTGGCCAGAATGGGAAGCAGGTTAGCCTTCAGGCAGGAAAGGCAGCAGTAGAAGGTGATAGCCGAGGATCATTTATGATTGATTCCAGCTCACATGATGATAGCCTTGTGTGTACGATGTCTTTACGAACTGGCTGTAAGAGGATGACTGCCTCAGCAGAGGTTACATGTCTATGACAAGCCAGTATACTGTGTACAGCGTTACATATCTATCCTAAACACAGCACTTGGCAATGATTCTTACATGACATGAGGGTCCCAGCATCATAATCTGGTCTCTATCCTCTTCCACTAAGGTAAAGATCTTTTCATGGAGGTGATGACATGAATATTGGACCACTTGTCATGGCTCTCTCTGCCTTATTGTCAGCTATTTTCTCCTGGAATGTGACCAAGGGAGGTATTGACTGAGATGAAACTGGCTGGCATGAAGCTGTTAGGTGGGGAAACGGTGGTGAAATGAGTAAGAGGCACAGAGGCCATGCAGGATTTGTAGTCTGGGGGATTGGAGTGGGAGAAGAAAGATATTGCATTCAATAGTGAAATGGGTACACCATGAGTCTTGGTGGGTGGACAGTAAAGGTAGAGTGAGTGTGAGGAAATAGATTAAAGGTATTAGCACATGGAATGCAGAACACCATTACACTTCTTGTGGCATTGCTGAGCATTTCTCCAGACTATGGACACTGCACAGACCTGATTGGCAATATCAGACTGGTTGGCAGGGTCTGGTGCTGAGCTCTCCTCTCGCAGTCTTGAAGAAAAGAGGTCATCCTTTCTCTGCACCATCCTACCTCCAGGACTTTCAGGTCTCTATCACCAAAGCAAGGAGCTAACTTCCCTTTCTCAGCCATCTCTAGGGAAATTCTACATGGCAAAGAAAGGCAGCTCCATACTGGCAGTACATAACCGGGTACACAGCTTTAATAAGAAAACTTTACACAGTTTTAAAAGCAATTCCAGCGCTAATCCTGGGAGGTCTCGGCTATAGAGACATAGCGCCATTTAGCACAGAAACAGATGTTTTAGTCTAACCAGTCCATGCTGACCACAATCCCAAACTTAACTAGCCCCACTTGCCTGCGCTTGGCCCATATCCCTACAAACCTTTCTTATTCATGTATTTATCCAAATGTCTTTTAAACATTGTTACTATACCTGCATCCACCACAACCTCAGGAAGTTCATTCCACAAGTAGAGAATATTTCTTCAATGCTGAGCATGAGCAGCTTGCCAGAGATGTGTGGTATATAGTTTCAAGAAGTGAGTTGCAGAGGATAACATGAGAAAACCCATTAGAGCTCACAGACAGACACCTTCCACGAAACTGTCCAAACATTTTGGTAAAATTTAGTCTTTTTTTTCATGTGGGTCCGGAAGATTTCAAACAATTTATCCTTAAGTTTCTTCACAGGGAGTGCTGCTCTCAACAGCATGTTAGCCATATACATCTGTTTCCTTTATTTGTCTGTCACACCCAGATGATATCCCTGAAAAAGGAGTAACATTTTTAAAGGCTCTAAGGAGTGGATAACAGCTGCTTGAGTAAAATGCTTTGAAGTGACTTGTGGCTGGTCTCCATTGTTACTTTTTCTCTTACTATTAAGAACTAATCAAAATATTCTTAAGCAAAGACTATGCAAAAGCATTCTTTCTCAATCTGAATATAATGTCATTACATTTGCATTCACAAGGTGAACTCATCATCTTTGTTACAATATTTTAGCTCTAGCATTACCATCATTAATTCCTTGATTTTAGTGAATGCTGCTTCTTGTTCTAAGCCTCAATTTCATTGCATGTCCTTGGCAGTAAGTGATGAAATGCCTCACACTCTGATGCAATTCAGAGCACAACATTGAGGAGGGAGGGAATGATCAAATAGGAGTAATTACATTGAGAGAGTTGTCTGATTGCAGAGAGTGGCAAACAGATCAAAGCAGCAAGTTGGATTCTGGGACCAGGGAAAGCATTCCTAGACCATCGGTAATGCTGTTAAACTTACTTAGCTGCTGCAGATAGGCACTGCCTTTTCCCCTTCTGTCCGGGTTCTTGGTCAATGCAGCAAATCCAGTCCTCAACTGTTAAAATTCAAGTGGTCCTGAAAATCTGATGAAAAGAGAACTTACATAAGTACACTAATTACAGAGTCGTCTTTCCAGAGCAATTTGCTCAAGTGGTTTCAAACCCACCCACTTATATTGAAATTTTACATGCTTCCAGTTTGTTTATGTTGGGTGTCTTATTTTTACTCATGTAATGCCCCTCCTCCTCAGCTGGGGGATTGGGTTGGCAGAGGTGCGGGTAGGAAGGGGACTCATGATTCCCAATGTTACTATCCATTTGTGTCCTAACTCTTGATAATTTTAGCGTTCTCTATAAAAACACTCTATAATTTCCTATAAGCTCGAACAAAACAAGC